TATTGTGGTCTATGTATTCACACGTGTATTACGATTTCCGGATAATACAGTTATAGCATGAATAAAAGACAATTATCATGAACAAGGAAATATAATAATAACACTTTTATTATTGCCTCTAGGGCATATTTCCAACAGAAGTCACCGGAGACGAAGGTGGAGAACCCGGTGACATGCTAGGCGAGGAGACCGGGGATGATGGTGGCTGCAAATCAACTAGATGTGGAGAAGGAGAGGAAGTGGAACAGAGAGGTACAGTCTCGGCGGGAGTGATAGGTGAGTCAGGAAAAGTGAGAAAAGAGATATCCTGCACTGAAAAAGTCGAGGAAGATGGGCGTGGGTAGAAGGGACGAGACTCTTCAAAAGTCACATCTCGAGAGATACGCATCCGACGACCAATAGGATCCCAACAACGATAGCCCTTATGCTCATCACTGTAGCCTAAGAAGACACACTCAACAGACTGAGCGGTCAGTTTGGTGCGTTCGCGAGGGGCAAGAAGAACATAGCAAACACAACCAAACGAGCGAAGCATCGAATAATCAGGAGAACGATCAAAAAGTCGCTCGAAAGGAACACCACCCTGTAGAGCAGCGGAAGGCTGTATATTGATAAGATAGGTGGATGTGGAGACGGCCTCAGCCCAAAAATGGGGCGGGAGAGAGGCAGCAATCATTAATGCACGAGCCGTCTCAAGAAGATGTCGATGCTTTCGCTCAGCCACACCATTCTGAGCATGAGCACCAGGACAAGAGAATTGAGAGAGAGTCCCATGCTCAGCAAGAACACCACGCAACATCTTAGAGATATACTCGCCAGCGGAGTCAGCACGAAAAACACGAATGGGGAAAGAGAACTGAGTATGAACCATGGTAGCAAAACGCTTATAAATAGACAACACCTCAGAGCGAGAAGTCATGAAATAAAGCCATGTGTAACGAGAGAAATCATCTATGAAAATAATATAGTATTTATGACCACCTTTCGAAGCGAAAGGGGCCGGACCCCATACATCAGAATGGACTAAATCGAAAGGACGCTTAGACACTGACTCACTATGTGAATATGGTAACTGAATGTGTTTGCCAAGATGACAACCCTAACACTCTAAAGAGACGTCTCCTGAGACAGACCCCAGAAGGCCTCGACGAACTAAAGAAGACAACCGAGAACCACACAGATGACCAAGTCGATGATGCCACTGCTGGAAGGAACCAGTGACGGAGGCGACAGAAGCGGAAGAACTGGCGATGGTGGTGGCAGCAGAAGGAACATGAAGCCAGTCCAACTCCCAAAGACCCTGAGAATCACGGCGGTGAGGGCCAGCCCCAACCAGAGTGTGCGTGTGACGGTCCTGGATAGAACAAGAGTCAACGTCAAGGATGACGCGACAACCAGAATCCGTAAGTTGACCAGCAGAAAACAAATTCATGGTAAGTCGAGGAACATGAGCAACATCAGGAACAGAATAAGAAGGAGTAGTAAGATTGCCTCTACTAGCAACAGAAAGTGGAGTACCATCAGCAGTAAAGACATGAATAGGAGAATCCAGTGATCGAAGAGAGGACAAAGTGGAAGAATGAGAAGAGATATGAAAAGAAGCTCCAGAGTCCAGAACCCAGGGGGATGTACCTAACTGTGTAGAGGGTGATTGCTCAGTGCGGGAAGCATCAGTCACAGAACCGGCAGTACCCGTCGAGGAAGAACCTGAAGCCGCGAGCAGACGCTTAAGTCTCAGAATATCCTGCTCAGTCAAAGCAATGGCTGAAGCTGTCGAGGTAGATGACGAAGTCCCGGAAGATGATGATCGAGCCTTGCGCAGGTGTTTCTTCTTCGTGTAGCACTGAGACTCAAGATGGCCATCATTGTTGCAATAGGCGCAATGTGGACGGGGGCGACCTGAGCCTCCAGAAGGAGTGGGCAAGAGCGGCGGAGCACTCGAGCGAGAAGGGGTCGGTGGAGCAAGTGGCGTAGGAGCACGAGTAGCGAGCACAGAGGGAACCTCCAGCAAACCAGCACCACGTAAGCGAGTCTCCTCAGCACGAATCTCAGAAAGCGCCTCCATGAGAGAAATACGGCCACGAGCAAACAACTGAGCACACCGGGGCTCAAACTCCTTACGGAGCCGAGACAGGAACTCATAGACGCGATGAAACTCCAAATTGGCCTGGACAGCCTGGCAACAGGGGCAGGTACGACACCCAGCACTACGGAGAGAATCAAGCTGGCGCCAGATAGCAGAACTCTGTGCATAGAAGTCATCAACAGTAGAGTCACCCTGCTGAAGAGCATGCTCCTGACGGATCACAGAGAGGTATAAGGCATCACCAGAGGGCTGATAGCGCTCACGAAGACGGGTCCACATCTCAAAGACAGTGGAAAGACCCAGAAATTCAGAAGCAAACTGAGGCAGAACACTAGCAGTGAGAATAGCTGCAGCACGAGCATCATCATCAAGCCACTGGGTGTAAACAGACAGAGCACCATGATACGTCTAAAGAGCCTCCTCATAAGCCAAAACCCTCTCATCATAAGCACGATCAGCAGCCTCATCAGCAACCTTAGCCGCATCCTTGGCGGCCTGATTAGCATCCGGAAGAAGAACCGATGGAGTTGGCGGAGTAGGGGCCACTGGAGGAACTGGACGTGGCGGACAGCAGACCTCGCCAGAAAGAACACCCCAAAGACGGATGCCACGCATGTGAATGCGCATGAAGCTAGTAAACTCGGTGTAGTTAGTGCCATCAAAGATCACCGGACAGCGAGGGACAGCAACATAGCCCGATGTAGCAGACATTTTTTTTAGAGATCGATCAAGGGGCAGCTGGCAGTCGGCGGCTGAAGAACCGCAGGGGCAAGGGCCGACGGGAGCTGCGTTGATTGAGGCCGGGAGTAGGAGATCAGGCCGGCTTCGGTTGGAGCCGGCTGGGAGCGATCCTGCAGGAGATCAGGCCAGCTCGATGGGGGCCGGCTGGGATCGAGCCTGCCTACTGCGAGCGAGACGAGGACGATCGATGGAGTCTTCGATCGATGGAGTCTGCGAGCGAGACGAGTAGAGGCAGCCTTCGAGCGATGCTGAGGGCCTTCGATCGATGGAGTCCTGCGATCTTCGGGAGGAGCGGAAGAGGAGCACCACACCGCCGCGCCGGCAAGCTAGGGTTTGCCTCGGGGGCGCGCGGCAGAGGGGGATCGGGACGGGAGGAACGTGCGGGGGAGGAGAGACCGAACGCACGAGTTGCAGCGTGCGAAAAAATTAACCTAGCTCTAATACCATGTTAGGAATAGGCAACTTGTATTCCCATGAGGCCATATGCCGATATATATATATATATATACATGTACATGTGTGGAACATATGCAGGAAAACCCCTTATACAACGGGATAAATACAAAGGGGTGCATGCCTTATATTATAACTCTAACATGATTAACCTTTATGCTCATTATTCTATTTTGTTATCCTGTTAAATATCAGCCTACACGCTGAGGCGGGAGCTGAAGCTATGTCTCCATCATTGCATCATTGATGCTTGAAGCGCCCCAACACAATGGAGACGGTGTTTATGAGTTCATTCCAATCCGCCAGCCTTCCAGCCAATTTACAAGCTTAACTGGATTGCCTATCTGGGTTTGTGTGGTTGGTAACACTTGTCCTATTATACGTTTCAGAGGATGCGACATGTGTCGTGGCGCTACAACTTGTGACTTCTGAGTTTATTTATTTTCCTATAATCCTATATAGTGTGTACCGTGGAATCTTGAACGGCGAACTTACTTGTATGTCGTTGGTCTGTAATAGTGTGGAACCCCGTACACAGGATTTATGTGTGTGTCACTTGGTTGTACTACCTTGGGAAATATCAGTTTCCTGTCAGTAATCAAGGATGTTCTTTTGTTGGTATGTAATACTCGCTCCGTTCCTAAGTATAAGTCCTTTTAGATATTTCTATATGAACTACTGTACATGTAGATGGTATAGACGCATTTTAGAGTATAGATTCATTCATTTTGCTCCGTACGTACTCCATATTATAGAATCTCTAAAAAGACATATATTTAGGAACGGAGGGAGTGCCAGTTTTCTAGATTTGATTGCTATCTTATGCAGGTCATATATAGTGCTTAGTAAGTGAATACAATTTCACTAAGTGAATATGTTTCAACAAAGGGATTAAGGGAAGTACCTGATCTTAGTTTATCTCCATGGGCTTCCGTACGTTGTGGCGAAGCTGCCAACCAGGGGTTTATTTTGCTTCACATGGAAACGGAGAGATCTTTGACAGTGTAAGGTACAGCTTGCTCTGCATTGAAGCCGAATTCCGTGGGGCATGCATCGACATAATGGATTCGACTGTAGATTGGAAGCGATTCAAATCGATAGATTTTTCTCTCCAACGTGCCGGACATGCCCGAGGTCCACTCTATATTCGTCCTGAATTTGGACTGGATATTAGAGGTGTCGGTTAGTCCGGACGTTTGAGGAGTCCGTTTTGGTCCGGTTTAAGGAGTTCGCCCGACCATTTGAGGTGGGTTTGAGACACGCGTTGTAAATGTTTTCATGTGTATACCCCTAAAAGAAAATGTACCAGTGGTGTAGTAACTAGGTGGTGTAGCTTAAAAAAACAGCTAGCTGGTGTCGATCGTAAGCGCAGGAATCCGCATCCGGGTGCCCACTCCAGTCTCCAACTCCACCGGCAATGCCAGTCACCAGCCGAAATGGGCGCCGGCGCCGGCGGGACAGCAAGGATACCAGCTTCGATCAGGGCGGAGGTTGCAAAGCGCTGACATCAGGGCGGGCGCGCTGCCGCCTGAGAATATCCCGGCTTCTGTCCCCAGACGAAACGATTCCCTTCCGTCGCGCTCTCCGCCCGCCAGCCCGCGCCAGGCTCCAACGCGCACCGCGGCGGCACTACGGCAAAGCTAATACTACTACAAGCGCCAATTAGGAGCAGGCAGAGCTGGAGAGAACCGAAGCTCTCGGCAGCTGTTGGCTGGTTCCGATGGCGAGCGACGGCGACGAGGCTCCCGCGGGGGTGGCCGGGAAGGTGACCTGCGCGGCGTGGATACGGCGCCCGGGCGGCGGGCCGGCCGTGTCCAGCAGCCGCAGCCTCCTCGTGGTGTACGGCCGCGGCGCCACCGCCTCGTCCCCGCCGCTCCTCGACCTCCTCGCCTTCGACACCAGGCCGTGCGAGCTCGCCTCCGAACCCCTGGTGAGCGGCCCGTGCGCGGCGGGGTTTCGGCGCCTGCTGCTGCTACGGCCGTGTCTCTGACCGCGGGATTAATGAATTTGCAGCTGAGGGTCGTGATGGGCGAAAAGGGAGCCGACGCGGACACGCCGCGCGCCATCGCCGTGCACCCCGCCGGCGACGAGTTCGTCTGCGCCACCGCCAAAGGCTGCAGGTGCGTGCGTGCTCGTCGCTTTGTCGTGCCGATCGAATTACTCGGCCTCAGTCAGTATGATACTTCCAATATCTTAACGTACAAGTTCAAGAAATCAGTAGGACATCATAGGAGAGAATAATCAGTAGGAGATCATAGGCATTCTTCAGGCTTCTGATATTTCTCCTTGCTATACATCAACTCTTTCATTCATATTCTAAGTTCACCTGGCTAAGACATCATTCTATCGCACCTTTAGGCTGTTCAAGCTGGTCTATGATGACTTTTGTATCAACCTTATTTCAAGTGATTCGCCGCCCCTCCAATCAGTTGGGCCTCAGCGATGTTTGGCATTCAGTACTGATGGTACTAAGTTTGCTATTGGCGGCGAGGTATCATCAGCCCATTCCACCTTGCTTTTCTTTTCATGCATTTTTATTTACTATGTATATAATGATTCTGCTAGTTGGTAAGTCTCTTTTGTTCAGAGTTCTGTAGTAACTTCTTTCTGTAGGGAAAGTTATGCAACTTCAAGGGTAATTTATGACATGTTGTAATCTGCTGAACTGTAAAATTATGATTGCATTCTGCAAATCACATATTTGATTTCTTAACTAAATTTTGCTATATTTATATTCCACTAAAACAGAATGGACATCTCAGAATATTTCACTGGCCAAATCTCAGCGTGCTTCTGGATGAACCTAAAGCTCATAAATCCTTCCGGGACATGGACATCAGGTGAATGAAACTATAAAAGTAGACGCCTGTTTTAATCAACAAATGATTATTACCTCGTGGATCAATAGGATCTGACGAACTGTACATACTCCCTCGAGTACCAAAGCTGCTGGGTGTGTCTTGATAGTTTAGTACAAACTTTTGCACAAGAGATCTTTATTACTAATTAGGGCAGTTAGCCAATTTCTATTTGTTCATTAAATTACAAAATAAGCTCTTTTTGGTAGCATGTTTAATCCTGAAATGCCTCTTTCTCATGTAACTTGGATTCAGCGTTTTTAGTATCAACTTCAACTGATGGTTCTGCAAGAATATGGAAGATTGATGAGGGAGCTCCACTCGTAAATTTGACTAGATCTTTGGTAAAATCCATGTACTTTCCCCTTTACAATAACTGAAACTGAATTGCTTATTTGACCATACTGTTTACATTTCTTCCTGTAAATGCTTTACAGGATGAGAGGATTGAGTGTTGCCGCTTTTCTAGGGATGGAAAGAAACCTTTTCTGTTTTGCACACTTGTAAAAGGTAATCACGTCGATAAAGTCAAGAAATGCAACACCAAACAGACTTAATTGAATTTTTATTGATGAAATAGGAAATGATATCGTGACTATGGTTTTGAACATAAGTAACTGGAAGAGAATTGGATACAAAAGACTCCTGCGAAAGCCCATTTCCACACTTTCAGTTAGCTTGGATGGGAAGTATCTCGCACTGTAAGTGGATGTGGTGGTGCATCTCATGTAATACTGGCTGTGACAGTACTTCTATATTTAGCATTTCTAGGCATACCTGCATCGCCGAAGTCTGAGGTATTCAGGATAGTTTTTCCTTTCCAGAATTCAAACAATTTCTGAATCGTCTTTTCTCACACTTCTCAGCTACAATCCATCTAGTTGTACATTTCAAAATATGCAGCATTAGTACCTGAAGTGTGTCCAGTTGACTGAACATCATGTTGGTTGGTCACCTCTGAGATAATCATTTTACTGGAAGAAACCACTTACCTGCTATTCTGCGTACATTTCGTAACAAAAAGAGCTTGTCTGCATGTCATACTACTTGTTCATCGTCCGACTTAATGTGCTTGTCTAGATCTGCTGAGCCTTCCGCGTCGACGCGACATCCTTCTTTTGGCTGTGAAGTGGTACTGACATGGATACATTTTTCATCTTTATCTAGAGGAAGCCGTGATGGAGACTGTTGTGTTGCCGATGTACAGAAGATGCAAGTTTCTCACTTGATGAAGAAGGTCCATCTTGGCTCCCCAATTTCCTCCATTGAATTTTGCCCTACTGAAAGGTAAATGGTAACTACTGGTATTTCCTGTAACAAGAAGCGAGACAAACCTGAAATAATCGCTGACTGTATCCAGAACAGAAGTTTTTAGAGATAACCTGTCTTCCTGAAGCACTGCCAAACTAGTGAAGTAGCAACTAGTTCAGTATTTGTTCATAGTGAAGTCAGAGTTTATTCAGCTATTCACTTGGAAGAATCCTCACTGGTTGATGGTCCAAGCTTGAATGAAAGAACTGAATGGCCTCTTGTTTGCTGTTGTTGCAGGATTGTGATATCCACCTCGCACCAATGGGGAGCAGAGATTACGAAGCTCAACGTCCCTGCTGACTGGAGAGGTACATACATGCATGTTGCTGTAGATGGCGTTCTTGTATGTTGCACATAAGTATTGGATAAAGTATTTACCAAGATTTTCCGGTGTACGCTTTCCCCATTGCAGTTTGGCAAATTTGGCTGGTATTCTTGAGCCTCTTCGTGACATCGGCAATACTGTTCTACACGTTCTTCAAGCACACAAACCTGGTGTAACCCCATAGGGTGCACATTTCAGAGTAACGATCCTCTAGTGTCTGAATTCTGATGATCAGAGTCCATGCCTAATATCAACAATGTTCCTTATCCTCTGTTTTTGTTGACACAATGCCTCGTCCTCATGAGCCCTTTCATTGTATGACCAAATGGTTTTGTGTCTGAAATGATCATTGTTTTGTGGTATCGAACCCTAAGCAGGCACATTTTTGTACACCAAGTGTTGAATTCTGTACATCGTATACCATGTGCCTCCTGTGCTGTAATCTTTGTGACTTCATTTCCACACAAAAAATAGTATGCCCATGGCAATTCCACAAAATCAGCACATTGTGTTTCCACCTTGACGATGAACGTTCACGCATGTGTAACCAAGGTAAATCAAAGGCCCTTCCAGCTTAGCACGGTTACACATATTCAGATAATTCTTATAAGATGACAAGTAGAGATGTGTTGCTGCCTGGTGTTTTCACCTTGCTTGCCTAATATAAAGTTGAAGCATCAAACAGCTTCTACAACCAAACCAGGAACACAGGGACAAGTTTACACTGGGAAACATTGTTTGCTTTCGTCAGCAAGTTAAAAGATATTCCAAAACAACAAAAACATGCTTATCTCTGTGATACAACTTAACAGCAACAGAAGGGCCTGAACATCATTTGCCCATTTCCCAGACAACGCCGCCATCCTCTGCATGCAGCAATTTAACAAAAAAAGTAAGAGGATGCAAGAAAACACAATCGATGAAGCAAAATAGATATGCATAACGCAATTAATGATTTCCGTGGTACAGTCCAAGATCTTGGATTTCCAGATAGATTAGTTTTCTTAAGGTAAGTGGTTCCTCCAGGCTCCGGCCATGAAAGATAGGATTTACCTTTGATCTTTTTGTTGATCCAAACCTCGAGCAACATCCCTGCACCAACTCCAGCGGCGCAAACAGCACCATAGATTGCCAGTGCAGAAGGCAAAGATCGTCGAGGGAGAAAGTAACACTCAGGAACTTGTCTTATTTTCTTTGGAAGGCGCTTCCTAACAACCGGCTGACTTGACTCAGTAACTGCACCACTCACAGTCTTCCAGTCTGCATTCTTCAGCATATCTTTAGAGTCTTCAGTACCCATCCTAAAATTGCCTGTACGCAAATGATAATCAGAATCTGTCACCATACATAAAAATACCATGCTGCTACATTTAGATTCATGGAGAATATAAGAAATAGAGCAAAACCTCTGTTAGCACAAATACAGTGCACTAGACATACCGATACAACCAAATTATCAACTGTACTAAAAGAAATGTGACAAGAAGTACAAGACACATGCTTTATGTCTTTAGGACATACTATTTATCCTACCCAGGGGGTAAATACATGAAATGATGAAAATACCCCTCTACTCTAAGCACGACTGCCGTATCCAGGAACGGAGCAAAGCACTATGTTCTGAGTTTATTTCTCCTTTACTCTCTGGCAAATAAAGTATGTCAATTCGTTTACCAGAAATGATTTGTTCCAAGCTAAATTGATGCTCTCATCCCTTGACCCAAGGAATTAAGTTCTCCCATATATATGACAAAAAAGATGAATTCTTACATACATATTACAGAAGAATGTGAATCCTTTCTAATCCCTCAGCAACAGGATTGGTAACCTAACAGCAAACAGAGCTTCAAGCATAATACAGCATTTGAACTGTAGCAGCTTCATCATTTATGAGAAAACACAAATGTTCTCACATGGAAACAACAAAAGATATCAAAATAATACAGTCCATGTTACATGAACACACAGGATTGCAAAGTCTGAAGGGTAAGAAAATCTAGAAAGCAACACACAACATAGTACTCAACTGGATACACAACAACACAATTTTATCAACCTATCCAATCAGCTGCAGAATTTGATTCATCCATGTAGGATCACACAAAGGGAAAGGGGGGGTTTGATTAGAGAAAATAAAGAAAAATGATATCGGGAAAAAAATGTAATTCAAACCCCATGCAGTCCTGCTTTTTGTTAGCTTCGATGATCTGCAGAATTTTTTTATCTACTTGGCTGAGTGCTTGTCCTGAAAACTTGAATAATACTTTCCCTGTAATATGTTTTTTGTAAGCTGCTTGAGATTTGCAAGGACAAGAACTTGTTCACATTTATTTTCCAGTAAAAAATATTTTGAACTGAGTGTAGCGCTGCATCTCTATAGCATACATGTATTCCGGAAAAAATTCCAAGACATCTGTCTTGGAATTGAGATTGATGCACTTTTTTTTTGAGGTCGATGCACCTCCGCACTCTATAACATGGCCGTGCAGGTGGATGGATATGGGCCCATAGAAAATACGGGCCGGGTCCTCCCATTGACGGCCCAGGTTACATGTCATGTGTGCTCGCGTGAGCCCGTGACCGTGAACGAGACGGACCAGGACCGCGTCCCTCTTGTAACGGGCGACGGCAGCCGAGATCCGCGGCGGCGGCGGCGCCCAGCCTCTGCCTCGCCGCCGCGGAGAGCCGGGGCAGAGAGGGGTCGGGGATGTTAGGAATGCGGGCGAGCACCGCGGTAGCATCTCTATCGCGGATGGGCACGGAGCCACGGACGCGCACCTCTACGGCGACCCGAACGACGCCGCCATCCCGACGCTCCTCCGCTCCCGCTTCCACGGCGACAAGTTCGACGCGCTCAACCACCTCCTCGCCCTCATCTCTCAGGGCGTCGACGTCGCCCACCTCTCCCCGCAGGTCCGACTAGCGTCCCCCTCCTCTCGTCTCGTCCATCTCACCCGGCCGATTCCGGCGACTGAATTGCGTGTGTGCTTGCGGCGCAGGCAATCAAGAACGTGGTGGCGCAGTCGCTTGAGCTGAAGAAGCTCGTCTCTTCTACAGCTCTACCTGCTCCACTACGCCGGGAGGTAAGCTCAGCCCCCCGCCCTCATCTGCACTTCTCCCTCGCTCTGCCTTGTGATAGGTCGCTGCCAAATCCAAATAGATTCGTCTGCAATTTCTTCCCTGTGAGTTGAGACAGATCGAAGCTAATTAGTTGCAATCAGGCAAACTATTTTGTCCGAGGCAGTCTGAAACGTGTACAATCCTTCTCCGGTTAAAAACTTCCGTCCGCGTTCAGCGTAGTGCATGGAGTGCAAAACTCTGACAAAATTAAATCTTGGCTGTTGGTAATCCTGGTTCTACTCCTACCTGAACAGACTTGATGTTCTGCACTTGTAGGTTAGAAATTAGAATGTGATGTTGCAATTGAGTTGTCTGAAAAAGTCTCAACCATATGCATTGTTTCTCTAGTGAAGAAACTGCGCCTGTCCCAGTATAGTGCAACGAGCGGCCAGCTTTGCTTTGCTTTGTGTGTGTGTGTGCGCGTGCGCGTGCGCGTGCATGTGCACGGGAGGCTGATGGCGCTGTCCGTGGCTATGGCTAACTACTGAGTATTCGTTAGGGTGAGATGGTAAAGATAGCTTACCTGATAAGATCTAACCAGTGCACCGTGCTTGCATGTTGTGTCCAATAATGTAGGTAGCATATATGGCTTTGGGATTATAACTCACTAGCTCAGTTCTCACATACTGAACTAGAAAGAATTTACGAGCGTCAGTAAGCTCATAACCTCAGAATTATGCTAGTCTTTCTGAACTGAATCGACGAGTCTTATACACTTTCTGAACTGAACCTGAATACCAAGGTGAGAGGCACCCTGTCTGTTTCCCTCTCCAATCTCTTTCTGGGTTTTTTCTTGGGGAATTTCGATGAGGCGGGGACGGGTCATTGAGGTGACCTGTGAGTTGGGTAGGCTGGCGTGTACTTGATTTGGTGGCGTCTCACGGGACTTAGCTCGGTTTCTTGTTTGCTTCAAGTAGGCTTGGTTATGGTGGTATGTGCAGTCGATAAGTAGTTCTTGCTTCATGAGATTCTGCTTAGTTCCTGTTTTCAAATATGGAGTAGTCTGGACAGAGCATTATGTTATTTTCCTTTATTGTTTGACTTTGGAGTAGTTGTAGCAAGGCCGATGATATTTCACATTTAATGAGTGACATAGATGACACAATTAATAGCTCTGATTCGACCGTGGACCTGTGGTAGAGACTGTTCGGCGCTGCTGGTCCGGGTCTAACAATTTAAACTAAAAAGTCTGGATATTGTTTGGGTAAACTTAACAACTAACGACTCTTTCATTTTATTGTCGCCCCTAACTGATGAACTCATAGTTGGAAATCATAAGTTATTAGAACTGTTGTATTTTACCTTGATGCTATCAGTACTCCTTTCTGTTAACTAGCCAAGAGGTAGATTTTGTCAGTACTTTTGAGTTGCTGGCATTCAGTATTACTTACGAAGACAACGCCTTCTCACCAGTGAGGCGGTTCTGCATGGACTATGTTTGGATTTACGTCTTTTGCCTACTGTGTACCACATGGTCAGTTCATCATCGACTTCCTCGGCTCTAGCAATTTTCGTTTCGCTTACTATTCTTCCCCCTTAGTATTACTAACTGGAGCGGTAGGCTATAGAAGCCACTCCCCGTCTGAAGTCTGAACCATTGTCCAGTAATGCGTAGGTGATCGCAATATGAATTTAGAATTGAGAAACTGATGTGCTATCAGTAAAATCATTACAACCAACGTGGATTTAAATCGATGATTGCTTATTAAGATTAGCTAATTCTTCTTAGTCTCTCTTTCATAGACATCACATTTTAACATCGCAACACGAGCAGAGGATTACTGTCCATTCATCCTTTGCTGAAGACACTGTGATGTTGAACAGTTGAGTTACATTCATATAGGTGCTACTGCCAAGGCTGGATTTGATTGCAGAATCCTACACCAGGAGCAGCGTCTGGCCACAACAGTTGTGGACCGGGAATGCAAGCCGGATCACCTCCATGTGGGCTGCTATTGCAAGGTTACGGTGCTGCACCATAGCTAACTCAGTAGGAGTAATTCATTCCCCGTCCAAGTATTTATTATTGATCATTGCTGCTTCATCTGTCTATTCT